ATCAGGAGGTAACTTTTAATTGGCATTAAACGGCCTACACAATTTTGATATCAAAAGAAAAAAGTCAGTGGCGCACATGTTTTTTTTTTAAAAATATTCTAGTGATAACCCGTATGTACGTCCCTGATGAATTTTTCGACACTTTGTTAGCATTCAAATATGTAGCACTTATATTAACTTTGACCCTCAAAATTTCATTTGAATTACTAAAAGTAGGTACTTAAAAGAAAATTATAATAAATCGAAAAATGATTACGACTCTAACACCCAGTAGCTAAGAAACAAAGCAGAATCGGACCTATGTTGATATAAAAAATAAATTTTATTTTTACGTGAGGAATCTCTCCACGAGAGATGGCACATGTTTTTTTAAACACCCTATATATTCTTGTACTATTTGCAGTGTTGTGTTATTTATTAGAATTCTTTTCTTTCCACTAGTTCGTTGTACATTTCTTTAGTTTTTGCTAAATTTATTTTGAGACCCACGTTCATTTTTATTCACAGGTAAATGGTATTTTCTGTCATTTTTTTTGGATGTCATCTATCGAAACATTGTCTCGCTCATTGATAGACTTTAAAAATATGTACAGGGTAGGTCAAATTCGACGCTTTTAAATGGAGACACCCTTTTCTATAACACGTTTTTCAAAAATGTGCATTTTTAACAAATCTCTGTAACTTTTTGGTTATGGAAAATTTTGTATTTCTATGAAAACATTTCCAAAGCACCTTTTTACGTAGAATTTAATGGTTTAAGTATAATTTTTTTAAAATAAATAATTTAAAAGTTATCAACAGGAAAATTGATTTTTTATTTGGGATACCCTCTATTTTTTTAATTAACTGAAAAGAATTTAAAATTACCTTTCCAAAAATATAGCACACTTGATATTTTGTTATAATCCCCTTCAAAATACGGGATTTTTAAAAGTTCGTCACTTTTAACTAGTAGGCTTTGGACCCCTTATTGATGATATGCTCTTAATGGAACTCGAAAACATATTTTTCCAGCAAGACGACGCACCGCCTCTGAACGCTGAAGTTATCAGCAAATTTTTGCAGCCAATTTCAAGAATAATTGGATAGCTAACCAAGATCCCAACCGTTGGCCGTCGAGGCCGCGTGACTTAGTGCCCATGAATCTAATCCTATGGATATATTTGCGGAAGAATAAAGGTTCCTTATTCTTCCGTATAATTTAGACAAGAATTAAAAATACTTAGCAGTTATGAGAGGGTATCTTTCACCCCTACTGAGTTAATGAATTCCACGAAAAATGTTCAAAAACTGCCCAGTCTGTCCATAACAGAAGACGGTCGATATGTCGAACACTTGTAGCAAAATCTCATGCCTTGGTTTGCTATTTATTTTTATTGCTATTAGATATAGTTTAAATGTGTTGATGTTGGTTAAATATATTTTAAATTGTTATAAAATTCTGTATCTCTCATAGCAAATATTATTTTCGTTTTAATTGATGCTCACAGCTAGATTTTTTTGCATTACAGCCGGTGTTGTTCAAAGCCTACTTATTTAAAGGGGGCGAATTTTTATATACTCTATATCTCGAAGAGGAATCGAGCAACATATCAAGTGTGTTATATTTTTGGAAAGGTAATTTTAAATTATTTTCAATAAATTAAAATTATACAGGGTGTCCCATATAAAAAATCAAATTTTCTGTTGATAATTCTTAAATTATTAATTTTAAAAAAAGTATTTTTAAACCATTAAATTCTACGTAAAAAGGTGCTTTGGAAATATTTTCATAAAAATACAAAATTTTCCATAGCAAAAAAGTTACAGCGATTTGTTAAAAATGCATATTTTTTTAAAACACCTTGTAACTCCGAAACAGTAACAGATATCGATATGCGGCTTTCACCATCATGTTTTTGACAAAAATTGAGCTCCAGACACCGATATTAGTTTTTGTCTATCTCCTATAGAAAAGGGTGTTTCCATTTAAAAGCGTCGAATTTGACCCATCCTGTACATATGCATTTATTTTATCTATAATATCTAGAATTACCAATGTTATACTTTGGTTTTCTATTTCATATAAGAAATGAAATATTGCTAGAACTTGTTTGCTTTATTACCCTCAACATACATTTAAAGCAAGTATATTATAATTATTTAAATAATAATTAGTGCAGACCGATTAAAAATGTTGCAAGGCAACACAGATTGCTGTAAATAAATAATACTTCGAGGTGAAATTACTGGCTCGGAATTTGGAATGAAATGAAAATTTCTGTGTATGTTAGATAGAATGTAGGTTGTACTTAACATATATTATTGAAATTACTTTATTTCTTTCACTTTTCGTATGTATACTAGGTAAAGAATGACAAGTATGTCATTATGTTTAATTAAACTAGCAAATTTAATATATAAAACTATACAGTTATCTAACTAAAAGAATGACAAAGTTGTTGAGTAATATGCATCAAGTCAAGAATAGTGGACACCTATAAATTTAGTTCGTTAAACTAATTATTGAATACCAAATGTACTATTTCCAATTTACTTTCAAGCCCGTACGATATGCGTACGATGGAGGGTTTAAAAATTTGGAAACTTGAAAACATCTAATGACGTATACCCAACTTAAAAATATAGAGAAGGCCTGATAAGGAAAGACAGGAACACTAATGTATAGGATGTTTAGCCATCGTTCAACGTCACGTTATACCGGGTGCGTCTCAAAAGTGGCTCACCCCTATAACTTTTTTATTTTTTCAGTTAAAAAAACGAGATTTCATACGTTAGCATATGCCATAAATTTGGATTCGATTGTTTTTGGTCACTTCCTGTTTCACCGGAAATGACTACAACTTTTGATTTTTAAATGGCACTCTCGGTATTTTTTTACGTAATTCGAGAGAAAATGACACTCTGAATAGAATGACATATCATGTGTCAACTTTTGACATTGTCACATATGGTTTATTTGAAATTGTAACATGCGGTTTATAACGACATTTTGACTCGAAATACCAAGTGTGTGGTACCAAACTATTCGTAAAAAATGCCTTTTCCAAAATTCCATGCGATCTTACTACTGTGGGTCATATCAATTTGCTCTAGTCTATCTATCTTCTTATCTATAATAGTCTTGTCTATCCATCTCTGCTGTCTGGAATTACTCAGTTCTTGAATCAGCATTGAGTTACAATCAAGGGTGTCTTCACTGAAAGGGTCTCTCTCAAAGAGTTCTTCGTATCTAGTTAGCAGTTCTCTAGAATCGTTGGAAAGACCAGGAATATACTGTTGCCTGCATCCCCTTGGTATGGTATTTCTTGACACTAACCTCACCAGTTCAATAAACTTTTCGTAGTTTTTTGGTGTGGGCTTCAGGTGACTAATAGCTGAGTCCATTTCGTTTGAAAAATTTTGCCAATTGGCTTTTTTGAAATTAAACCGACGCCTAAATGGAATAGTTGGTGATCTGACGGTTGCATATACGTCAATTCCTGTTGGTCTATGCTGACTTTTAGGTATGGGATTGTAGACTCTTTTGACACTTTGTCCTTCCAATGTGAGAGTAGTGAAGCATAAATCGGGGTTATATCCACGTTTCCAGATGTTGCTATGGAAAGAATGTGGGAGTTTGGTGTCGTGAATAAGGAAAAGGTCGCATGTTTCTGCCCACTCTTCGACCAGATTTTCGGTCGTGTCGTATTCTGTATGTCCCCAAGCAAGACTATGACTATTAAAGTCACCCAAGACGAATCTAATCTTCTGAGAATCGAAATTCGTTGGTGGTGTAAAGATAAAGGTTGCTGCTGGAGGCTTGTAGACGGAGGTGACAGTGCAGTTTCCAATTTCCACTGTTAATATTTCGAGGTTCTTTGTATTTGATGACCCAACTGATGTAATTCCTTTGTCAGGTTTGACAAAGATTGCACTCCCATATTTATCCGCATTCCAGGGATATTAGGTTGTTTTTGCGTGTGATCCTTGTGTGTCTCCTGAATGCACAGAACATCACACTTGTTAATCCTGCAGAAATCGGATAATAATTCCTGTTTGCTATTCGTAATGCCCTCTATGTTTATGGTCGCGATCGTCAAAGTCGATTCTGAAAAGAACCGTTGATGATTATTCCTTATGTCGCTAAGATACGCTTCGTACACTTCGCTTTGTACACTTTGGTCCGGTGGTAGAAGGATTGGCCGTCTAAAATAAGACGTTTCCAGGGGACGCCAGCAATAGTATTTTTGATTTCAAAATTTGAGACACTATTGCAGTTGTGGAGGCTCCTTCCGTGTCCCCTACTTGGGAGGGCATAAAGCACTTGGAAGAAAATTATAATATATCCAAAAAAATAAACTAACGTAATAATGTTAAAAAATATGAAAAATAAATATCATTTTTATGTGAGGAATCTCCACACGAGAGATGACACATGTTTTTTGAAACACCCTGTATAAAGGTCGTTGCGGAATATACCAAATGGCCAGTTTAAAAAAACGAATCTGATGTAGTACTGACCTTATATGTAAAGTACCTCTAAATGTGGTATATTAAAAACAACTTACTATGTGTGTTCAAAAATGTTTATCTTAAATTTGAACGGAGAGACGACATAAGCTTTGATATAAAGAAGAAACTTACTTTTAATGAATGTTATAATAATATGTTTTTGGAGTTAACTGACAATATTTTCTATTAACAAATCGTTTTTATGACAGTAGTATCAAAATTTTAATATTTAGAGAAACGCATTGGTTACCTACATTATCATTTATATTAGTTACTACTATAAGGAAGAGATTTATAATATTACAGGTGCTTAATGTTCTCTTCCCACATACAAGTCAATAAACCTATTATATTTGGTTATTTAGGAACTTAACACGTACAGCCTACAACATAATGTAGGCTGAAAAATCAGGCATAATATAAAAAAAATCTGTAAATGATTGATTAAAGTTTTTAGTACTAGTAAACAAGAATGACCTAATAACTAATAATAGTTTCTTTTGTAGGAAATGGAACCAAAATTGATTTTCGCCACATTATCTACCATAATCCTGTCTATTTTGGATCTGATCGATGGTCATGGGCGCCTCATTGAACCCCCTTCAAGAGCATCGGCTTGGAGGTACGGATTTGATACTCCTCACAACTACAACGACCACGAACTCTACTGTGGAGGATTTACGAGACAATGGGTGAAGAATGAAGGCAAGTGTGGCGTTTGTGGTGACGCTTGGGATTCTAAGTAAGTACACAATAATGGGATCAAGTGGTGTAAAAATGAGACACGCCATATTTAGATAATACATGAGACATTCAATAATTTGTTAACAAATCATCCCTATAATTTGATAAATGTTTCTGTGATAAATCATGGAAAAAGTGTGAAAATCCATTGTCTCGTTTTGAGGTTTAAAAGGTTTAAAACTTTTGAAACTGACTAATAATATACACGATACCAGGGCCTTTAAACGTACGTTTTTTGGCTGTGTCATGTTTTACCCAGCGTGTGTCATGTTTAGACTTTTTCTGGATTAAATATGAGACACACTTTTCTACATACTTTTTAAGGGTACTTTTGGTATATTTTTTTGCAATAGTTTCGTTACCACCAAATGCCTTTAGAGAGAAAAATACTTTTTTTTTCAAACGTCACAAAAGTGTTAATTTTTACGACGTGATTGACAGTATAAAAAGTTATTTTAACGCCTAGGTTGGCCTAGGCATAAAAGTAAAGCACTTTTACGCCTAATCACTTTGAATAACAAGATTAAGGAAGGAGCATATAAAAAATCTTAGATCCACCGCGAAGGGACTCAAATATGGCCGACTTTAATTCCGGTTTATCAGTGCCGTTCTAATTTTATTTAAAAAGTGTAAAACTATGATGTAGGGTAGACGTGGGGTAGACTCAATAATTTGTTGTTTTATTTTACGTTGTGAATAAATGTTGGTAGTTATTAAAATTGTTATAAAAATATAAAATTCTAATAAAAATAGATAAGTTATAATAATAATTTATTAACACAAACATCCGATACGCTACTGAAGCAGGTAAGTCAAATTGACGTATCTAAATTCTTTGACATCTAATCTTTGACAAGTAGTAAATAAAAGCAAAAATGCAAGAAAAAATATATAATTAGTTAATTTAAGTGAATTTCATAAATGATCGGTTTACTACACGTATGTATATTATAGGTATAGGGTATAGGGTATAGTCACTTACTAGCGAAAAGTTGTTCCATTATTTCACTCGATTTTTGACCGAGATCTACCGCACGCTAGACAACCAACTATTTTAGAGTCTTATTCGACAAATCGCAATAGTGTCACTGTTAATTTAAGTTCTGCCACAGTTTCCGTCTAGATTTACTACCTTTATATAACTATCAGTAGTATAATAAATAATAAATAACATAAAATAAGCTCCGTAAAGACTGTCAAATCCACAAAATTTCAAATTAAATTCACAAAACATCCCCCTTTAGAACTTCGTCTATCATGTTAAGAAATGAAAGTAAATAATAAAGCGCCTCTCGTGTTTGTTCGCACTCAAAAAATTTCAATTAATGCCTGTACATATTTTTTAAATTTACATTTTTTAATTGTAAAGTAATATATTACATTTAAATGGAATATATTACATAATAATTATGTCAATTACAGGATTACAAATTGTTTTCTAACATTTTTTAAGTAAAACGAATTATAAAATTTCAATATATGTATATTTGTCGTAGGTATAAAAAAAGTAAAATATAAAATGGACAAACGTTTACTTACATTGCAATAAAACTTCCACTTTTAGTTTTGCAATCCAAACGCAATATTTCTATTTCACAAATAAAAATATCCGACAGCACTAAAATCACTGAAACTTCCGCGGCTGACAACGAAAACTGAAAAATATAAACGGCACTTTTTGTTTTGGACCTGCATATCAACATTACGCTGTACTATTATGTGTTTGTTGTTGAAATAATATAAAATATCTAATTATAACTTGTAAATTTTAATATTTTAACATGATTTTAACTACTTTTGACAATAACTAACTTTTTGTTATCAAGATGACATTTTAGACGGCAACTGACATATATGTCATAATATTTTAATCTTAAATATGTATGTAATATAATTTAAATTACTATAATGCAACTTTATACTAACAAAACATTTTATACATTCACAAAATACAACAAAGCCTAATAATATAGTTTGAAAACAATGAATATTGAATTAAAATTGAAAAAGTTAAGCGCAACCCCTTGTGTCAAAATTAGATGATTAAATTTTCGCAATTTTTACACCATTTGATGACCGGTGGCACCTCTAGTGTTTGTTCGGGCGGTTGGGCTTTTACTCCCGCTTATGGCCATTAAAGAAAAAGTTCTAAAGGGGTATGTTTTGTGATTAAATTCAAATGTGTCAAATGAATTGTCAAACAGAACTGTCAAAGATCCCCACCCTAGAGCCCTTTTTCCGCCCACCTTGCATGAATCCACCGAATCCGGAAGCCTAATCATAAAAGTACGAAAATATATATTATTTAACTGACATAAAGTGTCAAATTCAACGAGCGTATCCATAATTTCTCGATATATAATTACATACAAGGTATGGCTTTTAAATCTTTTTATATTATTTGCAACGTTTGAAATTGTTAAAAAAATTATTTGTGACGTTTGAAAAAAAAATAGAATGTTCTATTTATACAAAAGTTTTGAAAAATATCTCATTTTTACACTACTTGACCCTTTATAATATAATTTTTTTTAATTTAGTCAAATTAATTTAAGCTATATTGTGACCATCACATTTACCTTTTGAACAGTGAAAACCGTTCATTGGACTTTCAGTAATCCTCTGAAATACCAACACGCAAAAAAATAAAATTTATTTTAATCATTGAATTTTTATACTTAGATCTTCAATTTATTATATCTTTATTATATGTATTGTATAAAGTTATAGGTAATTAATATTATTCAAAGAGTATTAATTAATATCAACTTTTTATATTCTGATTTCTATTGATGCACTTTAAAAGAAAAATGACAATTTTGCTTTCAACAAAATATATTAACAGTCTATTCATGCGCTTATAGTACCATTTATTATTTATAGGTCATTGCTTAATATCTTTAATATGAAAAGTTTCAAAATAGAAGTGTATACAAGGTCGTAATAAAAATATGTAATTATTTTAAACCATATAAAAATAACTAGCGTGTACCAGCGACTTCGTTCGCGTCGAATTAATCATTTGTAATGGAGATGATAAAGCAAAGCAAGAATTTCCATTAACATACAAACTAGATAAAATTTTCTCACATTTATGTCAGCATGAGAAAAAACAATATGCGATATTATTATATAACTTGGTAATATTTGAGGGGTAGTTTCATATCGTTGGAATTTGACTTTCGAAAAATCCGTTTGCCAAAAATAAGCTTTTTACGTCAAGCAGTTTAAGCAGAATCATGGTTAAGAAATTACCCAAAACACCCTGTATGATTTTTTTAAAAAATTTCAAAATATGTAAAAAAACCAAATAAATCATGCTTGTCCAAGCGTTTTCCCGAAAGACTAACTGTTTTTTAAATAACAAATATTGTAATAGTTGAGGGGCGTTTTCATCCTCTTGGAATTTGAGATTCGAGAAACCCCTTGTTATCGAACCTCTACACCCCACAGTCAATCCGTTTGCCAAAAATCAGCTTTAAACGTCAATCAGTTTAAGCAGCATCGTGATTACTCAATGGTCATATTTTATGAAACACCCTGTATAAATTTATAAAAAATCTTAAAATATGTAAAACAACAAAATAAAATATACGTGTTTAAGAGTTTTTCTTAAAAACTCACCGGTTTTTAAATAAAAAATATTTTAATATTTAAGGGATTAGTTTCACCCCCTTAGAATTCGAGTTTCGAAAAATCCCTTCTTATCGAACCTCTACACTCTAAAGTCAATCTGTTTTCCAAAAATCAGCTTTTTATGTTAAGCGCGTTAAGCAGGATCGTGATTAATCAATGACCAGATTTTTCGAAACACCCTGTATACAGTATATATTACATTACATACTGTATACATTAAAAAATCTTAAAATATGTAAAAAACAAAATAAAATATACGTGTTTAAGCTTTTTTTTCGGAAACTTGACCGTTTTTTAAATAAAAAATATTGTAATATTTGAGGGGTGGTTTTACCCTCTTGGAACTGGAATTTCGAAAAATCCCTTCTTATCGAACCTCTACACCCTAGAATCAACCTGTATGCCAAAATTGAGTTTCTTACGTTGAGTGGTTTGAGCAGGATCGTGATTAATCAGTATGTCAGTCACTGAAGGATTTTATATATTAGTATAGATAATAAATAACACGTATTGTATTAAAAATACCAGCAATAATAATTATAAACTACAAAAATTTAATAACTACATAAAAACGATCCATAAAGTAAATATTATTTCGAAACTGACATTACTTTGTAACTAACGAATAATTTAACAAAGTTTTTATAGCAATTCTTTTTAAAACTTTATAAATAGATTTGATTTATTTATTGATTTACTATCTCAACATTTACATTGATTTACTATCTCAACAAGTATTCTTCAAAAAAATGGTTTGAACTGTTACTTCAAATTAACTATGAAGAAATGCGTAACTATTGAGTAAAAAAACAATAGAAACATTTCATTTCATTAATTTGGGATACAGTTACCAATATCCGTTTGCTGGTAAGGATGTATTAAATTTATAGAAAAAAAAACAACATGAAAAATGTTCTACGCTAAGCCAACCAAGTAAAACGCTAAATTGTTTTAAAATGTTAATTACAACTACATAAACGAAGAAGTAACGTTACTATTGTTTAAATTAATTAATTTTCCTAGATGCGGTACATCTGAATCAGATTTAAATAAGAAAATTTACAGTTACCAAAAAGTATGATGGAAAAAATGGCGTCAAAGATGACTGTCAATCGATGATAATTTTAGCAATGTCAATCTCTAGACGTCATTTACGTATACATTAATATTTTTTCTCAAATTTTAAACTACACCATTCAAAACAATGTATACCCAATATAAAAATAATTTTAACCTTCTAGGCCAACCGGCATGCCGCGGCAGTAAGTGCCATTAAAAAATAAAGAAGAGTACGTGTGAAGTAAACGACGTTTAGGGCTTAACCTCGCCTAAATTATCATCGATTGTCATTCCTTAGCCGTCTATGACGCCGTTTTTTTTCGATCTTATACGTTATTTTATTGTAGAACAAGAAAAACTTATATACCAATAGTACAAGGTGGTGGCTCTCATACGCCGCGGAAGCACCAAGGAGAATGGTAGTTTACATCGAAATGAAATTTTGGCAGCATATGTAGGTTAACTGAAAGCATTTTATAAAAATATATAAAATTATACAGGGTGTCCCCAAAAAGAGTTACACATCAAAGTTGTGTTTTTTCTAATGGAACACCCTATATATTAATTGATTTTCGGATTCTAGGAAAAAAATAAAGGTGAGTTTTATTAAAGAAGCATATACCTAAAATCTAAGGATTTTGACATATTTTACAGTTTGTGAAAATTAAGAGTAAATTTTAAATTTCGATAACAGCTACCTAAATTTTAGTTGACCTTGTATAGCTTGATATTTAATTTTAGTAATCATGTATGTTAAACCAAGTTGAAATTTGAGCCGAAAAGTTATACAGGGTGAGACAAAATTAATATGGAACATTAGTCGCCTTTAAAAGCAAGTTACTACTTTATTTTAAATAGAACACCCAGTATATTATTCCGGTGTTCAATGGGGAATTTATATATCTTCAAAATATTATTAAGGTTGCCTACCGCGCGGACAAAGATTTTCCTAGATATTTTAATTTTTATGATTTTGCGTCAGTAGACCTTTATTATTTGAAAAAATCTAGGTGGCTGTGATATACCTATTGTTAATTTAACAAAAAATAAAGATTGTAGAGTAAAATACTCAACGGTAATAAAAAGATACACGTTTAAAAGATATTTTAATTATTACACAATTAAAACTAGATATAAACCTATAATTATGTGACAAAAATTAGCTAGATTCAATCAAATGCTTAAAATGCTTCCTTTCCTGTTAACTGCATAAAATGATTGTCTTTTCAAAAGGATATTTTCATTTTAAAAGGCATATGTGGAATTCTACCTCGAAAAGCAACTACAATAATTTCTCTCATGTTGTCGACGATAGTTGGTCGAGTTTTTTAAACACTGTCTTTAACATATCGCCATAAAAAAACCCTGACTAGATAAAATCAGGAGCATTTAAATATTCTATTGATTGGTGAATGCACACTGCATCCACCAACTAATAGAATCATATCAATTTCCTCTGATGTATAGGATAAGTTTGCATTTTCGGCAAATTTCGAGATTTTTTGTTGTTTTAACTGACATAAAATGATAACTAGTTGTTAAAGTTGAACTAATTAGACAGCTATGTTGAAGTAACGTCAGACATATCCAGCCACCCTAGATTTTATCAAATAATAAAGATCTTTGTTTGAGGTGTAGGCAACATTAATAGTATTTTGAAGAGACATGAATTCCCCATTGAATATTGGAATAATTTACTGGATGTTCCATTTAAAATAAAAGAGTAACATGCTTTTAAAGGTGATCAATGTTCAATATTAATCTTGACTCACCCTGTATAACTTTTTGGATCAAGTTTTAATTTGATTTAAAAAACAATAGTTAATTTAACTATATATTAAAGGATATTAGGCTATACCGGGTAAATTCCAATTTAGGTAGCGAGTTTTATTGTAATTTAAAAATTGTTCTTTATTTCTAGAAAATGTTAAATATGTCAAAAACCTTACATTTTAGTCATATACTGCTCTTATAAAACTCACCTTTATTTTTCTCCCAGATTCCGAAAATCAATTAATATATAGGGTGTTTCATTACAAAAAACTCAACTTTGATATGTAACTTTTTTTGGGGACAACCTGTAGAACTGTCTATATTTTTAGAAAGTGTTCTGAATTAACCTACATAATATGCTCACAAAATTTCATTTTTCATTTCAATACAAATTGTCGTTCTCCTTGGAGTCTCCGCGGCGTATGAGAGGCGCCACCCTGTACTTACCATTGGAGTAAGGTTGTATACATATAATACATAAAATTTGTGATATTTTTATTTTTAGAAAACCTAGAGCTCATGAGTTCGGTGGTGTTTATGGACAAGGAGTTATTGTCCGAAAATACGGAGTTGGATCAGTTATGAATATAAGGGTTGAACTCACTGCCAATCATTTTGGATATTTTGAATTTGCTTTATGCCCAGGTAACTAAACATCTGTTCTATTTTTGTTTCAATAGGTTCTACCTATCAGATATTGTACCGTATGATAAAAAACATTGGTCCAGTTGGCTTGGAAATGAACATTTATGACATTTCCTTTAGAATGACAGCGATCTTCATTTCATAGCCATTGCTGCCGCCGTTTTTTTTTTTCGATCATATGTTGTAGCTATATATTTAAATATTTTATTCTTCAATGATCACAAATTGTCGTATTTTTAGACTACAAAGCGGCAACTCAAGATTGTCTAGACCAAAACATATTAAAACTAGTGAAGCCTCAAGACGGTGTTGAGCATCGTGGTTATAGGTTCTTCCCCAAAGAAGGTAACAAAGTTTACGAAATTAAATACAGACTTCCGAAGAGGACATGCAAGCACTGCTTGTTGCAGTGGAGATATATTGCAGGTAATGTATTAGAAGATCAAAAATAATTTTTAATTAATGAGTGTATTTCGATGCAGATCAATAATAATACATTCAAGCTTGGCTTAATTTAATTTCAGAAATTAAATTAAATTTAATCCATTGTTTTTTCAAAAAAGATGAGCAATTATTTTTCAGAGACATATCGGTTTTGTCTATCTTTTAATGACATTTTTTATGGAAAAAGAAAATAATAATAATTGCCTACTATCTTTAGATGTATATGTACTAGTTAGTAAGTCGGACGTGCAAGTGAAAACATGAATTTATAGAAAACAGACCCATATGAGACAGTATCTTAAGTTATACTATTATAAAAAGTTTTTTTTAATCGACGAAAAATATTATTTGAAAGATTTATTTTTTATTAATTTTATAAATACTTAGTCAAAAAATAGGTAAAAAAAAATAATAATCATCTATTGTCAAAAATGAGTTAATATATACAAATCATACTATACAGTGTGAGTCTTAAATAAGTTCAAATATTTTCTGGGCTGAACATATTTCCTCTTTACCGTTTTTCAAATAAGTCCAAAATAATCGACTAATTTTACTTTGAAAATTAAAAAAATATATATTTTACTTAAATTTTGAGAACCACTGGATCTTTTCTAGGGTTTCTTCCTTGCAAATTTATTCTATTACCTATGTTGCTATATTATCAGGAAATTACGTTTTTTAACTAAAAACTAAAAAAAAATCACAATCATTTTTTTTGTACGAAAAAAAAAATCGTATACGTGTTTCTGGGGTCGAAATATATTACCTTAAAGTATTTGCACTTATTTAAGACCCACCCTGTATTAGGGGTTTTATCTAGGGGTTCGGTCACATTTTTGCAGGTTTTTGTGTTGCTAAGTTAGTAGTCCACCACTATTTTTTCATATATGTAATTTTTTTTCATGCAATTCGTATGTTTTTTTTTCTGAATTTTTTTTCACGTTAATAGGTATTTATAAAATGATGTTTTGCCATATAATTGATTTCTATGATTACGCCAGGCTGGGATAACTGATCAAGTGATAATTGATCAGTTATCGATGAGGGTTAAAATTATTGAATTACTAATATCGCTATTAAAAAATAGGGGTTGATGGTAGAAGGGTGAAAATTTAGGGTATGTATTTTTTAATGCCACATCATAAAAAAGTAAAAATAAAAAAAATTATATAAAAAAAATGGGGTGGACCCGTCACTTAGGGGTATAAAAAATCAATAACAACCTATTCTCAGACCTACTGAATATACATATAAAATTTCATCAAAATCGGTCAAATCGTTTCGGAGGAGTATGGTAACTAAAACTGTGATACGAGAATTTTATACCGGGTGCGACTCAAAAGTGGCTCACCCCTATAACTTGTCTTGTCCTGGCTGGTTAAAATATGTCCATATCGTATTTTTAATGGGGAGGGTGGCTTTTTCAGAGGGTGGCTCATTAGTCATTAGCATATTTCGAGAAAGGTATTTTTTAAGAATAATTTGGTACCATACACTTATTATTGTGAGTCAAATTGTCGTTATAAACCGCATGTTACAGTTCCAAATAAACCATATGCAAAAATGTCAAAAGTTGACATATGATATGTCATTCCATTCAGAATGTCATTTTCTATCAAATAAAGTAAAAATACACCAAGGGTGCTAATTAAAAATCAAAAGTTGTAGTCATTTTTCAAGTGACCGAAAACAATTGAATGTGTTAGTCAATCCTAATTTATGTCATATATACCGTATTATCGAATAAAAACGGCGTCAGCGATGGCTATGAAATGAAGATCGCTGTCATTTTATATGTAAAATTAAATGGGGAATATGTCATTGATGTTCTTCACTTCCAAGCCAACTGGACGCCGTTTTTTTTTCGATCATACGGTACTAACCAACCAAATATCATTTTTTTATCTGAAAAAATAAAAAATCCACACACATCAATAATTCCACACATATATTATGGGCTAGCCCAGAGACTATTACATTAATGAGTTATCATTTTAGGTAACAATTGGGGTAACTGCCCCAACGGTACCGGCGCAGTAGGCTGCGGCCCCCAGGAAGAATTCCGCGCCTGTGCTGACATCACCATCTCTGGCAAGGCCACCGATGAAGCCATGGTACCACCCACACAACCTATCGAACCCACAGAAGAGGACGAAGACTACAACGAACTGGTACCTCTGTCCAGCAGTCCATCACCTGGAGATGTACCACTTCCAGAACAGAGCTACAGCCCTATTTCGGCCATCATCGTTAGCGTGGTGTCTTTTTTAGTAGCATTTTTAGTTTTATTCCTTCTCTACTTTCATTTCTACCAGGTTGGTAGGAAGATTAGGGACTGGCTTAAAACTAGAAGGGAAAAGGGCGAAACGAAGGTTAGTAACATGCAGAAATTCCCGCCTATGGTGCCGCCTAGGAGTAAAAAGGGACCAGCTCCACAACCGACGCAGAGCATGATTTATTCCACGCAGCATATGGTATGAAATTGGTTGTATTCGGTGATACAGAAATGAAGATATAACTTGTCAAATATAGAATGATATCTGGCGATTTTCGAATGGGCACATGGGCAGAGTGATTCACATTCATGTGGTCGTTATGGTTTTCTCTTTCCTTTCTATGTTTTGCATGAAAATTGTATTATTACGGAACACGGTTCCTGAGAAATAACTATCATTAACGTGATAACAACATACATTGCGATGATACGATATTAATTTTATTGGTTGAATTTAAAGACTTCTATTGGTTAGAAAATTACGCAGTTTTTAAATTTATTGCATTTTTATGCCTCCGATCATCGGATACACAATTTGCTTGTGATTTGTGTCATTTTATATTTTTATTTCCATAACTATATCGCCGTTTTACAGTCTAAGAGCTTTTTCCCGCTAGCAACGTTTTCGAAAGAGAGTTTTAAGAAAGCTGGTTCTAATATATCTTTTGCTATGCTCTCCTGAACAGAGTGCGGACCATCTGGCTGCCGGTAGACGTTAGCGTTCACTACTGCGCATCATATCTGTATTCAACATCTGTTCACTGCTGTTCAGCACGAATTCGCTCTATATTTCAGGAACTAAGGAGGCTAGGACAAACCTATGTGTAGTTAGTTTCATAATAAAGTAGCAAAGTAATGTGAAAATCGCATCACTGTATCTCTACTCATAAACGATAAATAACATAAAACACACGAAAATGGGATACCCTGTACAGATGTGATGCGCAGTAGTGAACCGCAATAGTCTACCCGCAGCCAGACGCTCAGGAGATCATAGCAAAAGATATGTATATTAAAGAACCAACCAGCTTTCTTAAAACTACGAGCCCTAACAACTATATGTTGGGACAAGGTCAAATTATGGAATTATTGCCCTTGTTTTTCAAAATGACCATATCAATCCATATTTACAGTAGCGGATTTTGTTCATAAAAGGACAAATTTGCTGACAACTAAATGTTGGGACAAGTATTTTTAAATAATTAATATCATCATAGGCGGCTTTGCTATAAACGTCACAAATGTCGCAAACTGTTTACTTCAGCATTGACAGCTTGTAAGTGACTCGATACTTTGAGTAGTGAGATTTACTGTAAGAATTTTTTTTTAATTTTCAATTTTGTTAATTTAATCCAAAGTAATGGTCCGTGGAAAAGCTACAAATCAAAAACTACGCGAAATTATCATTCGTCAGTACAGTACGGGAAAAAAAATTCGACAAATTTCTGATGATTTAAGTATTCCAAAAACTACGGTCTTTAATATAATAAAAAAATACGGCGAATCTGCCAACGTAGACGTTAGAGGTAAAAGTTCGGGAAGGCCAAAAGTTGTATCTCAGAGAGATTTACGAAATTTAGTAAAAATTTGCAAGTCTGCGAGAAGTAGGTACTCTTCGCGAAGTAGCAGTTAAATGGAATACTTAACTGGTTTAAATATATCAAGAGAATGTTGCCGAAAATATATCCACAAATGCGGTTTGGGATTTTACAAGGTAAACTTTATTTTGTGTGGATAATCAATTACCTGAAGATTATTAATACAAATTCTTATTTAGGCCAAAGAAAAACCGCTACTGACAGAAATTCAAAAGAAAAATCGCTACAATTGGGCAAAATCTAAATATCGTGGACACAAAATGATTGGAATAAAGTCATATTTAGCGATGAGTCTAAATTTGATGTTTACGTTGGAGATCATCGAAAACGAATAATACGAAATAAAGCAGAAGCCTTTCATAAAGATTGCTTAAAGAAAGTTGTTAAATTTCCTAAGGGGATTATGGTTTGGGGTTGCATGTCAGCAAGAGGTTTGGGCAAATTCAATTTTATAGATGGCACTGTTAACGCCCAAAAATATCAACATATTCTTGAGACCTCACTTTTGCCTAGTGCTCAAGAATTTTATTGTTTCCAAACGAAGACTATATTTTTCAACAAGATGGAGCATCGTGCCATTCAGCAAGATCAACTAAAAATTGGTTCAGTAATAATATAAAAGTTCTATCCCATTTTTCAAGTATTCCGGACCTCAATGTTATAGATACTAGATAAAATGAAGCAAATTTAAGAAACCGCCCTCCACCATTTTTGATTTGCGGACAAAACTGCAGGAAATTGGGGATAATTTTTCTCCTCAAATGTGACAATCTTTGGTAAATACAATGCCATTAAGAGTTCAGGCAGTTGTTAAGGCGAAAGGTGATGTAACTCCGTATTAAACAAATTTCTTGTTGTGCTGTCCCAATATATAGTTGTCAGGAAATTTGGCTTGATTTTGTCAAAATAATCTATTATCAAAAGTGATTTGTTTGCAAAGTTATAAAAATATAGTAAAATTGTCTAGATCATATTGTAATGTTTGAATTTAGAATAATAAACAAAATAAATTGAGTCGTTTTAACAAATTACTATTTTTATTACAAAAAAAAGACATTGTCCCAACATTGTTAGGGCTCGTACTATTACATTTTTATTAAAGTTAGATTAAATTTGGCAAAAAACATTTGTTGACATTGTCTACTGTTGGTGTTCGCGGGTCCAAGTTATCCCTACTAGTTTTCTAATATCATGGTCCCATCTCTTAACATAAAACAATATAAATCTATTTAAGAAAGGCAATGAGACATTTCGTGCCATTTGCATATCATTTTATATTTGACGAGCTGTACACAAATTTGTGTGTTCTTAATTTATTTGTTGGTTTAATGGTCTGGATCTCAGAAAAGTAAGTAAACCTAGAGGAATTGTAAAATACATATGTCAATATTTTTTTATATGTTGCAATGATTTCACATATTACAGAAAAGCCAGATGAAAACATTATTTAGAAAATGCTGAGCATAAAGTGAACCAAAAAAACTTTTTAAAATTTTTACAGTTTGTTATTGGTTTTCATCTTACTTTAATTAGTTAGTCTAAGGTGCTATTTATTACTACCTCTATGCTAACTTACGGCTTTGAGTTCTAGTTATTTTGTAACATGGTTCGTATTGAATTTAGATTTGTAACAAAGTAATTGAAAAGTGCTATGGACTAGAAGTTAGGATATGCCAACTATATCGAGGAAAAAACGACGTCAGATTTGCCTTGGAATTGAAGATCGCTGTCATTTTATATTCGCAATTATATGAAGAATGTCATTAATAGTCATTTCCAGGCCATGTTGGCGTCGGTTTTTTTTCGGTCATTAGGTATAAATTTTGTACTACTAGTTAAAACGATTAATAAATTATATATTGTGTGTTTCATACCACTAGTGTCAGTCAATATCAGGATCGTATAATTTGAATTTTGACTAAGTTTTTTACTAGTATTTAGACACATATGAAAGATGAACGACAAAGTTTCTCAGAAATATTTTTCGAAATTTTTTTGGGATATTTTAATTTTTTTTTAAATTTTATTTGATCAAATTACCTCTGAAATGAACTATAAAGACAAATTGTAACTAAATTAAGCTTTAATTTAGGTCCATTTGTATATAAAGAAACGTACTCATTATATTTATACAGGGTGAGTCTTAAATAAGAGCAAATAATTTTAAGGGTAGTATATTTCCACCCGAGAAACACGCATATAAGGTACACGAAAAAAATGCAAATTTGGATTTTTTTTTAAATATTTAGTTAAAAAACATAATATTTTCATAATATGGCAACACAGTAGGTAGTAGATTAAATTTACAAAAAAGAAAATCCAGAAAAGAAGCAGTTGTTACTTAAATTTAAGCGAAAAATCATTTTTTTTTAATTTTTAAAGTAAAATATCTCGGTTATTTCGGACTTATTTGATAAACGGTAAAGAGAAAATATGTTTCTTTTATCAAAATCCACCAACCCTGAAAATATTTGTACTTATTTGACTCACCCTTGCAAGACTTGCTTAATTTTTTGTGATTTTTGTATACCTACCACTGCCTGTAACAGACTATTTTATTTACACGTTTTTGCCCTTTTTGTATTTACTTTTTTTATTATTTAAGATAAACTATTGTTTGTCATTAACAATTTAATGAATAATATTTATTCAAACTGTTTTGTGCAATGTTATATTTTAGGATTATTTGGCTTAGTTAATTTTTTGTAGTAAAAACTGTTCAAAATTATTGTTAAAAACAAATGTAAAAATAGGTATTTAATAAAATATAATACGTTTTTATCTTTTTTTATTTATTACTTAAGTATATCATATAAAATTATGCTAAAATATTATATTTTATATCTAAAACAGCCAGCAGATGTAAATCATTATATTAAAAAATAGATTATTTCTTATTATTTCAGCTCATAGATTGTTTCACCCAGCCAAGCATTTTGGCAACATCGCAAAACACTACGTAATTTGCTAGGTCGCACTTTTTGTCAGCGTCGCTCAGAACCAGCGATGCCAAACCTCTTAAATAGTATTTTCCGTTTTTCAGCATCATAAATCCGGCACCGCTGTCTCCTACACATGGACCATTACCGTCTCTCTTTCCTAAAAATAGGGAAATAGTAATTATAGAAAAATCGAAATGAAATCTCAAACTAATGTCGAAATCAGTGGCGTAGCGTGTGTCAGGGGAGCAAGTTTGCCGCCCCTACAGAATGAATTCAGCCGCTTTTGTGACAATTTATTGCCACCCCGCCCGTCCATGGAGGGTCGTCGCCCGGAGCTTACCGCCCCCATCGCCCCCGCCTTGCTACGCAACTGGTCGAAATTTTCCCTTTTTATTATACCCTTTCTGATAATGCTTGATCCTTTCCTAACACTTTTTGATCACCTTGTATAAATGATAATTAAGTTAGTTATAGATTCTATAAGTTACCTGCACAGAACGTTTCTTCAGATGTGATAGAATAGTAGGTCAAATTTGAATACAAGCATTTTTCTTGGGTCACTACGGGCATGTCCAGATATTTTGCTACAGGAACTGATAATGTTTTTGTTCCTTGTGTTTCTAAAACAGATATAAAACAAAACATGTTACTTTATACAACAATGCTTTTTGCTTTGGAGAAAAATGTTATATCTCATTGAAATAACAATAGCATATTGTGTAATAAGTTGAAAAAGGCTCTTTGCACACGGGTGTGACGGTTTATTGGCGTAGGCGAGTGCCATAAGTCACACGAGTGTGCAAAGAGCCTTTTTCAAACGTTTTGCACACTATACTTTTTTCTACGACTGCATATCACAAAATAACAAATATTCTTTGTAAATTTATTTAAATTTCCAACAATATTATTTAATGACAATAACAGATGAACAAGTTTTCTATTTTTTACATTTTTGAAATAGCAATAAAATTGAATTACTTATTAAAGTTATAATTAATGGTAACTTTGGAACAGTTTTTAAAATTAATTATTGGAATATCCCTTATATTTTCATAATTTTCTGTAATATTCAGAGAATATTCGGACGAATATGACTGGGTCGCTGGGCCATTCCTTGGCAAAGGCTGCAAAGGGATTTTTGAGGGAATGTTGGACGATAATGGCTCCACAGACTTCATTATTTTGTGGACTCGCCAATATATCCTTCGGCAACGGCGCCGGCGCTGGAATGCCAGCCCCCATGGCACTTCAAAGTTAGTAAGTTCAACAAAATAAAAAAAGCAAATCAGACTGTGCGCGTCAAAAATATATACAGGTTGTTAACTCGACAGTTACTTATAGGGGAACAGAATGGCAACACTGCCTATTGAGAACGCATGCATTATTGATTTTTCTGCCGACTCGTCCCGTCGTCGTGTCGCCTATTGACGAGCGGGCCGCGGTTGCCATATTTCAACCGTAAAGCTCTTGCCGCGAGTAATAACAAATTAATAACCTGTATATATGAATAAAGCTCACAGTTTCATATACTTTAGTTCCTTGTCTTCAAGATATTCTAGCCCTGCATTGACTATTATTGTGGCTGATGATTGCCAAAAGCAATGCCCGGTGTATTTTTTCTGGATTCGGAACATTCAGAAATTCGGCGATTTTTCTTGCCATATTTCCTATTTTGTTGATCAACAACCTGTTTTGTGCATTTACCATTGCGATAATTAAAAAGAAAACTTTTTTCTGTTATATTTTGGGGACGAAGTAAGGTAAGCGTGCGAAAGATTGCACACTACAGAATTTGTGCACGGTGTGTGAAAAACGTCACTTTCAGATTGACTTTGGCGTGCGTTTTTTAACGTTTTACATAGCAGTAGTAGAAAAAAGATATTTTTTAAATAATGATTATTTGCTTATTAAATTCATGTTCAATAAATTCATTCAATTAAATTCATGTTCAATTCAAGTGTTTAAATTTAAAATAAAAATGCTTCATATAATAGTATATTGTTTTCAAAGGTTTCAAATAATCTAAAAAAATTTAAAAGTAATACCCGTAGGAAATTATATATCGAGAAACTATGGTTACGCTCGTTGAATTTGACACTTTATGTAAAAGTGCTTTAAGCTTCATTCAGAACCTCGCAATTAGTGGAATAAATTAGTGGTTTCAATTAGCATAGAAGTTTGTTCCTTTTAATTTCAATTGGAAATCATTCATAACGTCAAAATTAGTGGTAGACATTTTCAATTAGTAGATAAAGTTATCAGACTTTTAACTTTTCCACTAATTATACTTTATAATTTGTGAGAAATGTCATTTAAACCTTTGATTATCTTCCGTCAAGAGAAATTGTAGTCAGAAATTAAAACTTGATTGTTTATAAGCTTAAAATTCGGCTTTCTCTATGGATACAACTGGCTAAGGCAAGCTGTTGCTGGGATATTCTATTAATTTTAATTGTGTTTTTTAAATATTGTGAATAATTGTAAACTAAAAAGTATAAAGTGTAATTGAAACCACCAATTTATTCCACTAATTGCGAGGTTCTGAATGCAGCTTTACTTTTATGCCTAGATGTAAAAATTACTTTTTTATATTATTATCAATCACGTCGCAAAAATTAATATTTTTGAGACGTTTGAAAAAAAAAGTAATTTTTTGAGACTATATAGTAGAGTATCACTATTACACTATAGTAGTGATATACTACTATAGTGTAATAGTCAGGGGCGGATACAGAAATTTATTTTAGGGGGGGGGCCCAAATAAAAAGTAATGTAGAATATGCTTTTTAGTGCGCCATTTTTAACCCAAAAGCCTAATATTTACCCCAATTAAAAAAAAAATTAAATAAATTAATTATTTTTAATTTTTTTTTTAATGTTTACTTCGATCTGGCTTGCAATATCTAGAACGATTTTCTAGTTACCTTCGTCAACTCCCCAGCCAGCTACAGTGCCCTTTTTATTTACTATATCGTCGATACTGTTGCCACCCTCCCATAAACAAATTGGAGTAATCATATTTGAAAATTCCACAGGTCTGTTCAGCGTTACAATCTAAAAAAAGACAATTAACATTAAGGAAAAAATAAATGTCCATGTTAAACACAAATACTAGATTATAGCTGTTAGATAGCTGAGTAGAGGTGGGCAAAGATTAAACGAGTCGTTCTTTTGAACGAGTCGTTCGTTTGAAAGAGTCGTTTTTTTGAACGAGTATTAAAAATGGATCGAAATTCGACTCACCGTTTAGAATATGGTTCGTTCAATTGAATCGTAGCCATCACGGATCCATAAAGTTTGAACGAACGAGTCGTAAGAATTGAATCGCATCACAATACCACTCGTTCGTTTCTATTGCTCGTTCATTCAAAGAATCGTGAAGATTGATTCATTGCTTACAAGACGGTCGTTTAAAATATTAGAATTATATGCTATGAGCTTGGGTAAAAATTTGAGTACCCAAGTATTTGGGTACCCAAAAAAAAAGAATCGTAATACCCATGACTCATTACTACAGCTGAAGCTGAAAGTACTAAATACCTTTAAGTAAAATTTTCCAGAAACAAATGTTTTATACAGGATGTATATTTTTTTAAAGTAGTTTGACACATAGATAACTTACCGATAGATCCGCATGAGCATTGTTTGGATCAAAATCAGGATGTGTGGATATTTTCGTAGCTCCTCTTGTTACAGCTCCATTTGTAGCCCATTTCAGGATATTACTCTTTCCAAATACGAACAACATATCTTCTGTTTTTATGATTTGTACTTTGTAATATTGTATACAACGTGCAGCTAAAAATGCGTCATTCTTTTAGTGGTGCAAACCTTTGGGGGTGATTATACCGGGTACGTCTCAAAAGTGGCTCACCCCTATTAACTTTTTTCTTTTAAAAATCGAGATTTGGTATGTTAGTATATGACATAAATTAGGATTGATTGACATATTCAATTGTTTTCGGTCACTTTCTGGTGCAAAATGCACACTCGATATTTTGTTACTTTATTCGAAATGAAGAAGAAAATGACACTTTGAATAGAATGACATATCAAGGACATATCATATTATGTCAACTTTCGACATTTTCGAATATGGTTTATTTGAAATTGAAACATACGATTCATAATGACAATTTGACTCAAAATAAATGTGTGGCACCAAATTATTCTTAAAAAATGCTTTTTCCAAATATTATGTATATCCTCGTCCCATTTGAAAAAATTGAGGTATTATTAAAAATACGATTTCGCATCTTTTAACTGGCCAGGACAAGACACTAAAAACATTAGACGATCAAATCTATTTTTCCAAGGCTCTTTGATTAAAAATTAGTGTTTTTAACACAGCCATATGGCACTCTAGATTGAAATTTAAAATACAATTTTGTTTTAAGTGAAAATGTTAAAAGTTGACATATGAAATGTCATTCTATTCAGAGTGTCATTTTCTATCGAATAAAGTAAAAAAATACCAGGTGCCATTTAAAAATCAGAAGTTGTTAGGTTAGGCCAGATTATTAATTTCCGGTGAAACAGGAAGTGGCCGAAAAGAATTGAATAAGTCAATCAATCCTAATTCATGTCATATGCTAACATACCAAATCTCGTTTTTTTATATGAAAAAATAAAAAAGTTATAGGGGTGAGCAACTTTTGAGACGCTCCCGGTATAGGTATTAATAAAATAGAAAAGCAAAAATAATGATGTAAGTAATAAAATAAACTAAAACAAATTTTCTTTACCTGTTATTACATGTTTATTGGAGATCAAATTTGCCGTGCACTTGTACTCGAACCCGAGTCCCTTAGCCACAAACATGGCTGCCAACCACGGAAACATTCCATCGGTGATATCATCACCTCCCAGAATCAAAGGTACTATCGCCGTTCTGGACACACCGCATTGCGGACCACTAGTTTCATCTTCTTTGTCTCCTCCTTTTATTTGGATCTCGTTATTCAGGAAAGGATTATTTAGTATGGTTACAGAGGGTTTAGGTTTGTATTTGGGCCTCTCGGTAGTTGGTTCTACGACTGGTATTTGAGAAATTTCAGGAAGGCTTTAAAAATGAAAAAAGAAACAGTTTTATTTGATAACGGTCATTCTATAGCAGGTAATTATTCTCAGACTAAACAGATTAAACCTACTATCAGGTAATGTAACTGCTTTTATGATAGATAATAGCCTTGTTTATTATACTGGGTGTTCCAGAAATAAGTGCAATATTTTAAGGGGTGGTAGATCGCGATAAAAGAAACATATTTTCTCTTTATCGTTTTTCAAATAAGTCCAAAATAGCGGAGTTATTTTACTTTGAAAATTTCCAAAAGAAATGATTTTTTTGCTCAAATTTTGAGAACCACTGAATCTTTTCTGTATTTTCTTACTTGTAAATTTAATCTATTACCTATGTTGCCATATTATTAAGAAATTCTGTTTTTTAACTAAAAACTAAAAAAAATTACAAAATCTTTTTCCAAAAAAATTTTTCGCGAAAAAAACCTCATAGGCGTGTTTCTAGGGTTGAAATATACTACCAGTTAGAATATTTGCACTTATTTCTGGGACACCTTGTATACTTATAGAAGGATAATAGCACAGATTACGTATCCTATAAGTATACAGATAAAAATCTTGTCCCTAATTCGTGGTACGAAAATTGTTTTTTATGACGATGTGCAAACGAGTCAAATTTCCTGTGCGCAAAAATAAACTCGCGTAAAATAACAATAAACAGCGTAATAGAGAGATATCGCTAAACCGAATAGCGTGCATGGACGTTAATAAGGCCATGTGTTATTTCCCTTACGTGAGGTGGTATTAACTCTCTTCATTTATAGTTATCGGATCAGAAAGAATTCTGATCGCGTCGCGTCCGCTATTTAAACTTAACCTAACTTTGAATTTAAAACTTTGAAATTGTTTTGTTTACTAGGTATTTTAAAACTAAAGGGCTAAAGTGCTTATTTCCAGTGCTTTATTGTTCAACGTCTGCCAGTGGGTTTAGGGCAACAAGCAACAAATTCTCTTAGAAGGGCTAAGTCGTCATCTGCTGTAAACCTAAGACTCTTTATAGGTTCTTTAGTATTGGAAGAGGTGGAATCCATATTTTGGGCCATATTTATTTAATTAAAACTAATCCCAGCTACTTCAATATCAAATTACCTAATAAAACTAAAGCAATAATTCAAAACAATTCAAACATAACCTAAAATAAAAGATCGCGCCGGTGCGGCCGGCTCCGGTTGTCAAATACCGGCACATGCCCATTTAAGCAATTTTTAAACGTTATCAGAGGTTATTTAGAAAGAGCGCTTGGTGTAATTGATCCGCAAATTACGTCAGGCGGTAACGTTATTAGCGGGTGTTGCGTTAAAAATTGACTCGCGTATATCGTAACCATGATAAGGTACGCGTAAATACTGGATGACGCTATTCGGTTTTCCGATATCTCTCTAATAACTGTGCCGGTCAGGCGCTGTGCACAATTTTAGAGGCCTTAAGTGGGCGTGCTATGTGCGCAAACTAGTCACCTAACTAGTGCCCGATTCCGAAAATTGGAACCACGAAAAACAATAAAGAAAAAACAAAGATTATAATCTGTATAATCTGTGATAATAGGTACTGACAAATTCATAAAATTTACCTTTCTACTGAAGTCTCTGGCTCTATTGGAATTGGTCCAACTCTGTTAGATACATGGAAGAAGTATTTGTGACCAGCCCATAAACTGGTAACTCCTGGTTCACCAGGAACAACTAAAATATCAAAAATATTACAAAAGAGTTACTAACTAAAAATAATGTAATAACCACAGACCACAGAGTCTAATTGAACTGCCTAGTTTATATCACGGCTTATTCAGTACCAGCTTGTCAACTTTGATTTTTTTTAGTAATCGCGTGTTACTTGATGCGTCTGTTTTCGTACAATGATACAGAGTGAGTCATAAATAAGTGCAAATATTTTCAGGGCTAGTAGATCTCGATAAAAGAAACATATTTTCTCTTTACCGTTTTTCAAATAAGTCCAAAATAACCGAGTTATTTTACATTGAAAATTAAAAAAAATGTTTTTTTATTAAATTTTGTGATAATCTACTATTTATGTTGCCATATAATCAAGAAATTATGGTTTTTAACTAAAAACCAAAGAAAAATTCCAAAAAAAATTCCAATACAAATTTTCAAAATATTTTTTTCGCAAAAAAACCCTCATAGACGTTTTTCTGGGGTCGAAATATACTACCATTAAAAATATTTGAACTTATTTAAGACTCACCCTGTATAACAAAAGTTAAGCAAATTATTTTCAGTGCAATTTATTAAGATAACACGATAAAAATCAAAATTATCTGGTTAAATTAAATTAAATAACGTTTATTTATGTTAAAAATTCATTTTTTACGTTGTCTATGAAAATAAGTATGGATTATATCATATTTTTAGAAAGCTCATGACAAGGCAAATAAAATATAAATATAATATACAGGGTGTCCCATTTAATAAAACATCAGTTTAAGTCATACTTCGGAAATAACAGCATCAAACTAAAAACTTATTACGCCACTGGTTTCTACGTTAAATACTAACTCAATTTTCAGCTTTTCGATAAATTATAAAGGTGAGTATTCATTATCCGAACGAACGAACGAACGAGCGAGCGAACGAATGGAATTCGGTATATTTGGACGGTGGACCGAACGCATGCGGTCGTTCGTTTGTTCGTTCGCTCGGCCATCCGTTTCGAGTCGGTACATCAAAGGCGTTCGCAAACGAATGGGTTAAGGTGTTTTCGTTTGGTTCTAAAATCCGGTCCCGTTCATACTACTACGGAACGCTCGTTCGGATAGTGAAACGCACCTTAAGATAATCGAGATACGAATGGGATCGGAAACATTTTCAAATTCGCCCTTTATTTCAGGAACTGAAAGAGCTAGGGCAAATCTCTGTGTATCTTTAGTTTCATAAAAAAGTGTCTCAGTAATGTAAAAACCGGATTTTTGTATCTCTACTCAAAAACACAAGAAAATGGGACACCCTGTACAGATACTTCATATCTACAGACAACAATACGTAGGGAACAACGATTAATAAAAAATCGAATTAAAATTAATCGATAGTTTTTGAATAGAAATCACCTACGTAATTCTGAAGGCCCGGAACAATACTGCTTGTTGTTGTACACGATCCTTGTGATTCTAGGAATGGTATGTTGAAAAGGAAAGTACACGTTGTAGCTCAGCGTCCTCACACTTTGTTGGATGAGATCCTGGCCAGGAGTGTTCAACTTAATCCTTAAGCTCTGAAAGAGTAAATGTAAATATTATACTGGCTCTTTTTACGGGTCTGAGTATTTTGATATTGATATAGGAAATGTTCATTTAAAGAACTTATATAACCTACTACAGTTAAATGTAGAAAACGAATTCCCGCTTTACATTCTAAACAATTTTTTTGTGTAGGTATGAACGAAGATGTAGATAGTAGATACTGTAATTTAGACATCAATACTGTACCGAGAAAAGAATGAAAAAAAAAATGAACATAAACCAAATCAATCCAAAACAAGCCTAACCAAAGCAATCAAAACACGCTGTAAGCTAAAACGCGTCTGTTTACGAATTCTACTTACCGAATACTTTTCAAATCTTGCTATATTTAAAATATTTTATCAATAAATGAAAATGGTAGGTACACTTGCGCAAGAAGTTTTTTTGCGTGTCTATGTATAGAAACATTGTTTTAACATTGTAAAGTATACATTAGTATGTATTTCAGGAAAATATTTTAACTTCTACAGGGTGGCTCAAGAAAATGTGAGTGGATCTGGATGATTTTTTTTAAATGGAACACCCTGTATATAATGCATTTTTGGCTTCCTTGCAGATCACTTTACATAATCCTAAGATATGAGTAGATCTATTTCGATAGTTTCAGAGATATTAAAAAATAAATAAAAATATATATTTTTGAACCCTTCTTAAAAAAAATATTAAAAATACAAGAACTGTTCTGAAATCAAAACTATATTAGGATTTACTTTAGATGGTCTGTCCTCACTTTGCTATAAATATGGTAATCGTAAATCATACAGGATGTTCAATATTCTACACCAAACTTTCAAAAATATAAAATAATTTTTCTTGGTTTTTTTTTAAATGGAACACCCTGTATATTATTTTTTTATTAAATGGAGAATTAAAAAACGAACATTTTTTTTTATTTAGAGTATTTCAAAATTTTTAATAGTTTTTCGGATACACGCAGTATTATTTCATATGGCGCTTTCAGTGGTAAAATATGAGAAAAAAATCGTTGGGTGGCTTGGATAAAAATTTACTGTGGGAAATGCCATATGAAATACAAAACCGGGAATATCTGCAAAACCGTTAAAAATTTTGAAATACTCTAAATACAAAAAATTCTCATTTTTTAATTCTCCATTGACTGAAAATATAATATACAGGGTGTTCCGTTAAAAAAAAACAAATAAATATTATTTTATATTTTTGAAAGTTTGGTATAGAATATTGAACATCCTGTATGATTTACGATTACCATATTTATAGCAAAGTAAGAACAAACCATCTAAAGTAAATACCTAATATAGTTTTGATTTCAGAACAGTTCTTGTATTTTTAATATTTTTTTAAGAAGAGTTGAAAAATATATATTTTTTTATTTATTTTGTAATATCCCTGAAACTATCGAAATAGATTTACTCATATTTTAGGACTATGTAAAGTAATCTGAAAGGAAACCAAAAATGTAATAATAATATACAGGGTGTTACATTTAAAAAAATCATCCAGATCCACTCACATTTTTTTGAGCCACCCTATAGAGGTTAAAATATTTTCCGGAAATACATCCTGGTACATATTTTAGGTTTGCATGCACTTAAACAAAATTCTCAAGTTTTCTATTCTAGGAGCTACAGATGACCGACGCACTATTGCCGAACCCTGTATACCAACGGTGTTTTTTGGTGGTTTCTTTAAAAATTCGTTGTTGTTTAATTAACATTAATACAGATATTGCAAATAATTGCCTAAAAACTGCAAATCTTCCTTATATTTAATTGTATCTCAAAAAAGCTGGAGTATTTTTAGATTGTTTAAAAAACAAAGGTTTAATTTAGAAGATGATAATAACTCTTTGATTTATAATTTATATATCGTGAACTATAATCAAATTAGATATTATACTGCTCTGATTTTCAGAACCGTATTGCGTCAGAACCTACCTACGCAGCTATATTTCCTTATTTTTTTATTGCTATTACAGTTCAGGATCTTAAATTCTTAAGTCGGTTAACAAGGGTAACATGATTAATAACATTAATTATTATTTCTCTATATAACATTTTCCTGCATTTTTGACATATTTAATAAAAGTTCATTTAATACCAAAATAATAAATTCTTAGACATTTTTTAATAGTAGAATCTAATTAGCAAACTTGTAATCACGCAAAATCGCGACGGTACTAAACATATTGTCGCAGAGTAAGTGCTATGACACATAAGTACAGTTTCTGAATTAACGACATGACAGTTTAAAAATTTCAATTTTTTTAATTGGTGATCTCGAACAATTATTATTGGGTTATTCATGTGCAGCCACACTATCCTAAAAACGGCGTATCGGCGTAACGGCGTAACGAACTCGTGTGAAGTTGGCACCCTTTTTTCAAAAATTGAACTGGAATTTGAGAGTTCTGGATAGATTTACAATAGTTCTATAGTTCTTGATAAGTTAGAAAAATAGTTCTGGTTAATTTCGGGAGATATGACATGGGGGTGCCAACTTCACGTAGCACCCTTTTTTTATTCTGGAACAGTTCTGATAGTGGAAATATATTCTAGAACAAGAGTTCTATTTTATTTTTGTTTTTTACATATTTTAAGATTTTTAAAAAATGTATACAGGGTGTGTCGAAAAATCTGGTCATTGATTAATCACGATCCTGCTTAAAGCGCTTCACGTAAAAAGCTGATTTTTGGAAAACAGATTGACTTTAGGGTGTAGAGGTTCGATAAGAAGGGATTTTTCGAAACTCGAATTCTAAGGAGGTGAAACTATCCCTATAAAAACCGGTGAGTTTTTCGGAAAAACTCTTAAACACGTATATTTTATTTTGTTGTTTTACATATTTTAAGATTTTTTATAAATTTATACAGGGTGTTTCATAAAATATGACCAATGAGTAATCACGATTCTGCTTAAACTGCTTGACGTTTAAAGATATTCAAATATCTTTGTTTAAAGTTGATTTTTGGCAAACGGATTGACTGTGGGGTATAGAGGTTCGATAAGAAGGGGTTTCTCGAATCTCAAATTCCAAGAGGGTGAAAACGCCCCTCAAATATTACAATATGTGTTATTTAAAAAACGGTTAGTCTTTCGGGAAAACGCTTGAACAAGCATAATTTATTTGGTTTTTTTACATATTTTGAAATTTTTTTAAAAAATCACACAGGGTGTTCCAAAAAGTTGGGTAATTTCTTAACCACGATTCTGTTTAAACTGCTTGACGTAAAAAGTTTATTTTTGGCAAAGGGATTTTTCGAAAGTAAATTCCAATGAGATGAAACTACCCCTCAAATATTACCAAGTTGTATATACGTGTATAGCGTTTAACGCCTTGGGAGTAGCAAGGTACAACTTGCCATACTAGAGCCGTTCGGTATACAATGAAGGTAATGTGGCTAGCACTACGCTTCAACCGCCTATTATTACCTCAGGATTGTGAATCCCAAGTACTCATTTAAGGCTGAGTCGACCTAGGTACCCAAACTATTTTTATTTTAATAAAAATAGTCGGCTGATGAAATGCCGGGTGTGGGATAGAGAACTGCGCGGGCCGGTTTTTTGTAGCCCGACCCGACCCGGCCCGAGAAGAGAAGTAGGTTTTGTAAGCCCGGCCCGGTTTGTGGAAAGTTAAAACTTAAACTAGTCCGGCCCGGCCCGAACCATTAAAATAAAACCGACCCCTATTGAGAGGGCGAAACCGGCCTGGCCCGAGGCCCGGTTTCGGGCCGGGCCGGGTCTGAGGCCCGTTCGGTCTACCCGGCCCGTGCAGATCTCTAGTGTGGGATTCGAACCCACTACCTTTAGATTGGTAGACGAGAGCCTGTACCTCTACGCCACCGGGCACCTTATTTTTTCTTATGCTGACATAAATGTGAGAAAATTTTATCCAGTTTGTATGTTAATGGAAATTCTTGCTTTGCTTTATCATTACCATTACAAATGATTAATTCGACGCGATCGAAGTCGCTGGTACACGCTAATTTCTAAATAGAATTGCTTGAATTAAAAACAAATGAGTTTTTTAATAATTTGATAGATAATAAACTTGGTCTAACAAGGAGTGAAGCAACAGCAGTATCTGGGGGGGCCGCCCCCCCGGGCACCCCTGTAGTTACGCCAATGATGATATTATTTTTAATTTTTGTTAGATTTCCAATAAAATTATTTGTTAGATTTTTATTGGAGAATGAATAATTTTTGTTTACTAGTCATAGTTACTAGTGAGAGTTTGAATATTCAATTACTTTATTTTTAAATAACCTTTATAATATACATACAATAATGTATCTAAGTAGCTAAAAATATTGCTTCTAGTCAGTTTTGTGTCTAGTAGCATGTCTGATTTAAATATACAATTAAATAGCTATAAAAACCATAAAAAATTAATGATCGACGACATTTCAAAACAACAATAGCACGAGTAATTTAAGAAACATCTCGTTAATACTATTTGTTTTCAATGTTTTCTTTCAATATGACAAATCATTTGATAAAATAGTTCTATATTTAGAGAAATATCAAGCGTTAAAATATTATCTATCTATTAAAATATATACAATAGATAGATCTAAATAAAAAAGGAAAATCCAAACGTAAGATCTATACAGGGTGTCCAGAATTATGTAGGCCATATACATAACTTATAATAACTAAATCTACAAACCATACTATATTAATAAATTACAATTAATATAATATTTTGGTATACATAAAAGATATTATTTTGTTTAAAGTTAAAAATTAAAAATGTAATAGCATTATTAATGTTTGGTTTAAATAACATACGATAGAAAAAATGGCGTCAAAGGTGGCTGGCGAATAACAATCAATAATAATTTTGGCGAGGTCAAGCCCTAGACGTCATTACTTAGCCCGTACTCTAATTTTTAATGGCGCTTATTATTAATTTATATTGAGTAAAAATTATTTTTAAATGTTAAAATTCTAAAAAAAAAATTTAGGAAATAGATTTTGTGGCTGGAAACATTCTATCCATTTTTTAATCGTTCTATAATTGGTGCTAATTTTTGACGTGATTTTTGAAGATTTATGTGATGTTTTAGTAAATGTCGTCTAGAGGTTGACCTCGCTAAAATTCTCATCCATTGTCAAAATTCAAAATGGCGGCCATAAGAAAACAAAAACTTGACTGTTGTTGTGCGAAATCTAGAAGGCTTAGAAATTTACTGAAAACGGCATTTAATTCGCCGAAGTCAAAAATATAAAACTACCAACTTATGTTGCAATAGATACAATAGTTCTGAAGATATTGGCATTTAAAATAAACGTGTTATTTTAATTTTCTTGACATAAATCTGAAACTAATCAAGATACCGGGGTTTTCTTCATAGGTGTTTGTCAAACTTCTAATTACGCAACTTTTGTCCCATTTAACCGAATTCCTATCTCTCGTAGTTTCTGAGATGCCAATGTTGAGCATCGAAATTGTCACCACCCTATATACTGTTAGAAGTGGGATAAAATAAAATGCATGTACTACATCCTATATTACAGTAAAGGGTTGGAACCTTTGTTGTTACACAGCAAAATAAAAACACTAAATCACCACAATACACCAAAACACTTTTACTTTTACACTGGACGCGCGTTTCGCTAACTTTACTTAGTTTATAATCGTCTGCTGATGATGCTAACATGGGTAGCGAAACGCGCGTCCAGTGTAAAAGTAAAAGTGTTTTGGTGTATTGTGGTGATTTAGTGTTTTTATTTTGCTACATCCTATGGCTATAACTAAAAATCCGAAAAAAAACTGAGGAAATCCCTTGTTTATTATGGCTGAGATGACAAAATGAATATAAACATATAAATAGTAGTAGATACTTACCACACGCTGATTATCTATATAGTACCCCTTCATAGAAACATTCACCCCCAAGTTAAGCGTAGTACTACCATCGTACGGGATCTGAATATGTCCGTAAACCTCCCCATTCGCTCCCGTTTGGTACTGAAACACCGACGGGCAAGGATTGGGGGGAACCCCTTGACCGGCACCGCTTGTAATCAACAAAAGCGCATGCATAGGCTCAGCAGGAGGGGTACTGCAGTGGTACGCATCGCCGCAGGTTGCATGGTGATGGACAGAGTAAATGAACTGGCACGCGTCGAATGGTACCCGACACTGATCGTCATTGACTGTACGTGGTTGATTGCTTTAGCGGAATACGCTCGGAGATGTTGCGTTTTTATATGCCACTCTGGTTTTTCCTCCTGGTCACGAATCGGAGGCGTCTTCCGTCGAGGAAAATCATGTTTACGAGGGACGAACAAAAATAATTTCGGTAATTATTGGGAAAACTGGAAATCGTCCGATTTTCACTAAAATTGGTATACACCCTATTTTGAGGTCGTAGATTACGAATCTGAACTTTTTTCCTGGCGCACAGTGGGCAAAAATCCAGAAGTATGTTGCAAAAATTCTTTTTTTGTACGATGTTATTCAAATTTGGTAAAACATACTATGCCAGTAGGCCGTGAACCCTGTTAGTTTTGGCTAACTTGAGAGTGGTTGGGGGTGGTGGAGGGGATTCATAAAATGGAAAAATCATCTTTTGACTAATACAGCTACCAAAATGCGGTAAGAATATTTTACATTTCACTAAATTTTACGATTTTTGGCAGAGACAAGATGAAACAGAGAAATATTGAGCAATTATTACTCCTCTGCCATATACAGGGTTTGTTTTATATATTAACATCCTCGGTATCTTTTTTATTCGACGTTTTCGAAAAAAGTGTCTTGAATAAAAGTTTAACGGTCTCGAATACATTTTTCAAAACAGTCTTCTTTGCATGTACAGGGTGCCTTAGAAATCCTGTATGTGGCCCAACTTTCTTATTTCAAATTAGTACCCATTTTTTTATTTGATTTTTATTTTCTCCTAAAAATCCTAACTACTGTTTTGTAGCATAGCCTATACCTAATTTGAAATAAGATAGTTGAACCACGCCCAGACTTTTTGAAGCACTTTGTATATGCGAAATAGACTTTTTTGGCAAATTTATTCAAAACCACTTTCATTTGAGACAGTTTTCGGAAATGTCAAATAAAAAACATAAAGGGGGTGACAATGTATAAAAGAAAACCCTAGTATACTAATCCAATCGAACTTTTATTCAAGATTGTTTGTCATTTGAATAAGTTGGGTTTCTAATAATACCAGGCAATATGTGAACAATATTTTATTATTATATTTTAAATAAGTAATAATATGCTGAGAATTAAACAATGACAATTTAGGAAATAATAGAACTTATACTTATTAAAAATATCTAAATTTTATTTTACCACCTACTATTTACTGATATTTTGTTTTATAACAGCTGGAAGCAATGGTCACGAAGTGCACATTTTTAAATCTGAAAGAAAAATCCATTTCATTTAATTTAAAAAATTAGGTAATAATTTGTCAATTTGTCAAAAAATGTCATTTGGCATTTATGACATACCTCTTCGGAAATCTTGAGAAAAGTTACGTCACTTTATATTTCAAGTTCTTCTCTAGCTCTAGCTACTATAACAATTAATTTATGACAATTATCCACATAAAGGATGTTACTATACACATACGCATGGAGGCTTACGCTTCCAATACATTTAATGTTGCGATTTTTTGCGATTTTTTTGACTTAACTTTTCTAAGATAGAATATATGCCACTATCAAAAAAAACCTTAAATGATTATGTTCTACTTTGACCTTTACCTAGTTTTTATCCAAAAAATCAAAATAAAAGATACTTTTTTACTTACCTTCACATTAAATTTACCCCAACCGGGAATCTACGTAAAACACGTTATGACAATTTTACAATAATTTTTGACAGTAAGCTAAGGTCGCCGATTCAATTGTTATAATACTGTGTCACTTGAATGCAACGCCTGCTATTTAAGAAATTGTAGAGAAAAGGCAGTTATTGGACACAAATTAACTGAAAATGTAGGTTTTGCGCAAAGTTCGTTTTACAGCCCCTCGAAAGAGACTCCGAATATGTTTTTTTGTTAGTTTTATGTGGTTTCCTCTTAACTAATATGTTTCCAATCTAATGTTATTGCCATAAATGCTAACTGTGGATGTTATTTTTTGCAACTTGGTTTGGACATATTGCCTACTGTGTGGCGGTCTCTTACCGTTTTTCAGAAAAACGGAAAATAATTTCAACATTGAATTTTTCTTTATTTCAGCCTTATAAAGTAATAATTTCACTATATTTTCATTATATTAGAGTTTATCTAAAAGTCACACTTGATTGAGGATCGAAAAATGTCCAAAGTTTTACTGAAAAACACTTTTCTTAAGAAAATAACCAAAAAATTGAGACCAGATGAAAGTTTGACATTTCATATATCTTTCTTTCTCTCTCCTATGTAATGAGAGAGACAAATAGATTCTATTCTAGATCTAATTTTGAAATTTGAAAATTTGCAACGTTGCCATATCTTGTATTTTTTCGGGTGATTAGGGATTTTAAATAAATTATATACCCTGACAATAGTTAAATATTAAATATACCTATATCTTGCCTATATCCACAAAGTTGCGCGGAAGAGTTTTGATTACATTGGTTTCAACTATGCGGAGGGGGTTAATCTTTTTTTGTTATATTATATTAAAAAAAGATTAACCCCTTCCGTAATGAAGTTATATAAAGACTATTTTAACCACGAAGTTGCACGAAAGAGTTTCGATTGTATTGGTTACAACTTCTATGTGGAGGGGGTTAATCTTTTTTTGTTATATTTTACGAGTATTTATAACCACGAAGTTGCACAAAAGAGTTTTGATTGCGTTAGTTTCAACTTCTTTGCGGAAGGGTTTAATCTTTTTTTGATATAATATAGCAACAAAAAGATTAACCCCCTCCGCATAGAAGTTGTAACCAATGCAATCAAATTTTTAAATTGCACCCTCGGTATATTTCTACTTTATTCGATAGAAAATGACAATCTGAATAGAATGACAATATGTCAACTTTTTACATTTTCAAATATGGTTTATTTGAAATTGTAACATGGCGATTCATAACGACAATTTGACACGAAATACCAAGTGTGTGGTACCAAATTAATCGTAAAAAATGCTTTTTCCAAATATGCTAACGAGCCACCCTCGTTCCATTTGAAAAAATTGACATATGATTAAAAATACCTACGATTTGGGCATCTTTTAACCCGCCACGACAAGACATTAAAAACATTAGACGATCACAAAATCAATTTTTCCAAGGCTCTTTGATTAAAAATGAGTGTTTTCAACACAGCCATGGCACTCTAGATTGAACTTTAAAATACAATTATGTTTTAAACGAAAATGTCAAAAGTTGACATATGATATGTCATTCTATTCAGAGTGTCATTTTCTATCGAATAAAGTAGAAATATAATAAAAATTATAAAATCAAAAGTTGTAGTCATTTCCGGTGAAACAGGGAGTAACCAAAAACAATTGAATACGTCATTCAATTCTAATTTATGTCATATACTGTCATACCAAATCCCGTTTTTTTATCTCAAAAAATAATAAAAGTTATAGGGGTGAGACACTTTTGAAACGCCACCCGGTATTATAGCTCTTTCAACGATAAAATACCAAATTAATCAAAATGAATAATAACCATCTATGAACGAATGATATCGAAATGCTATTGCCATAGAAACGCCTTTTATTTTTTAGGTTGTGAAGAAAAGTTCAATAGTTTTTTCATGTCTTTTGTTAATTTTCTCTAAAACAGTATGGAAATTTGAAAAAGTATAAATAATATTAACCATTTTAGAACACGCAAACATTTTTATGAAAAATGCATTTTTCTCAAAATGTCAATAACAAAAAGGTTTTCCTCTTGTAAAGACAATCCTGGGACATACTGTATATTTTGTTTTAGTATTTTGAACTTATATTTTCTCATTTCTTGTGTCATGCTTTTAATTAAATTTTTATATTGCGTTCTGTGAATTGTAATACTCTCTGTATATTTATTTTTAATTTATCTAGTTAGATTTTGCATTCAAGTAATACAGTACTTTTTGAATATAGAATTATCAAATTATACAAGAAATAATATTTATTTTTAGTGTTGAAGCTATTAGTTGTAGTAAAATTATTAAATTATGATCTATTCTAAATCAGCTTTATGATAATCGTACTCCTAATAGCTTCTTACCAAGAAGTAATTTAATATTCTAATAAGAAATAATTAAAAATTCGACATCTAAATCAAAAAATCAAAATATTAACATGCGAATATCTTTGTCAAAGTTTTGCACATCTGGCAGAATCTATTTAATTACTAGATGATCATATTAAAATATTTATTTACATGATGTCCCATCAATGCAGACAGATGTATTAATTAAAGTTAATTTAATTTACGTAGCGATATACCGGGTGTTGCATCGTCGAGCGGGACATAGGAAATCCCATGTAAATTTTAATGGGGTCAATTATTGGCTTCCCTAATTATTTTAGAAAATAATTCTATTTAGGTTTACTGAAGAGCACTAAAACCCACATTCTAAAGAATAACTTTAGATATTTTTGATTAGCCCCCGTTTACTTTTTAAATATTTCTCCTGTATCTTTCCTGTATTTACTTATGAGCACCAGTTAAGGTAAAAGATAACTGTCAAATGAAGTTGTCATTTCAGAAATATATCTATTTAGTGCTTTATTATCTATGGTGCTTTATTATTATTATTAAAACCTCATACCTACATCGAAAATATTAGCCATGAATTACACTACCGAAGAAAAAGTATTGATGATTAAATGGTATTATCAAGGAAATAGTTATCAAAAGGTGTCGGACATGTTTGCTGCTCTATATCCGACGATAGACCGAATAGACCGATACCTGGAAAATCTACAATTGCAAGGAATATCCAGAGATTTGAGATCAAAGATGCCCTAATAAATAACTGCAGATGTGAAGCAAGACAGGAACAAAGAGAAAATGCGAGAATTGATACCGACTTGGAAGTTTTATTGACACTGACGACTGCAGGTTTATCTTAAATAATGAATCCAATGTTCAAAGATATCGATATTGGAACAAAGAAAACAAACACAGGTTTGTCGAAACATGGACACAATATCCACAGAAAGTAAATGCTTGGGCAGGGATATTCGGACACAATATTATCGGGCCAT